CGGATCAGATATTTTTCAAAAATCAAAAAAACAGATCGGATTAAGTAGATCGGGGATTTTACAAATTGAAAAACGGATCGGATTTATGAAAACAGTGACCTGACTCAACTCTGCATTTAAACCCATTCTGGAAAGACCCTGGACTCATGCGTTCCTTAAAAAATTACCGATTTTATCACTTGCACTTTCGAAAACAAATATCTTCTTTCAGAAAAAAATGTGATTATATGAAATCAATAATCAATAAAGGACGCGAATAAAATGAATTATTTTGCCACAACTTTCTTACCTCGACTGTGAAGAATTTCCTGGCCAAATATAGTTGACGAATTGCACAAAATAACCCCCAACTCTCTCCATTACATCAAGTAGTCCCTTGACGGCTTCAATTGCGCCTTTCGCCGCATCAACAACCCCATTGAACGCTGAAATTGCCCCGTTCAGGACGGCAAAAAATACGCCTACGAAGAGAAAGTCTGCAGCTGGGAGATCTGCAATTTTTAAAAATTGATCATTATGACGCACTAATCTGCAATTATTAGCTCACCCTGCGTAGCAGAGGAGCTATTGAATTCCTCTTGTCCGTCTGTCTGTCTGTCTGTCTGTCTGTCTGTCTGTCTGTCTGTCTGTTAACGACTCTTTTGCATCAATTGATGCTAACTATAGCGAGTTATTGGCATTCGTGACCGAATTATTAGCACTACTAGTCACCGAACAATCGGTGACTTAAAATGGTGCCAAACAATTGAGGGAATAGACGCAAAACGCACCAAAAATGCAGACGAACCGGAAGAAATAACTACAATTTTTACTTTAAATTTGTCAAGATTTCATGTCAAAATTATGCCTCGTTTTCCCTCGTTTATTTTCCACCATTGGTGCAAAATTATATCACAATTATGTAAATATTGTGTCCGCTTATTATGCACCATTAACGCAAAATTAAGTCAAAATTGTGGATCTGTTGTATCCGCCTGTTCTGCACCATTGGTGCAAAATTATGTCAAAATAATTCTCACGGGGTGAGCTACTTCTACCGTTACAACGGTTTATTTTTTGATAATCAATGTGCTATTAACATTATGTGTGCATAGATACGAAAGATATTTAAATTTTAAAATACATAATTTTGAAGAGCCTAATAAAAATCGAGTTGCTGCACGGAACAACTTTTTTCATACCTGGATTATCCATCTCCCTGTCCCACGGCCTGGATAGCTATCTATAACGCGATCAGATTAATTAATTAAATATGTACATAGTCACTAATTATCTTAAATTATGTACACATACGTAGAAAAATATAAAAACTAGATAATGAGGCAATTCACGCACTCCTTACATTATAAAATCGTGTGTTCATATAATATTTTACCAAATTAAATGGCGCACTTGATCTGCGTAAGTTTGCAAAAATTTGAAAGCAAATTTTTGTTGGAAATATAAGTAGAAGATTGTACGCTTAGGGAGTTTGCAATTTTACAAGAGAATGAGTGAATTGCGTCAATAATTTTAATTCAGAAAGAAGTGTGCTGTAAAACTTACGATGGGTTTCCAAAAGACAGACCTAGCTTTCACCAGCCCCAAATTAAGATAAATTCATAGACAAATTTCTCCCAAAACTATCTGGTAACTATTTCAATGGAATTTATTGATGCAGAATTTTTGACAGGAGAGGGATGATGAGGAACCGGGCTGTCTGGTGAAATATTGCGAAAAGAATCATCTCGGTGAGATCATCATCATCATCATCGGTTGGGCGAGGTCAGTGCACAAGATACAGGTGTGCTCATAAAATTTGTCATCTTTAACAACCAAATATTACAAAGTTTATTTGACATTTAATACAAGTAGAACATGACATGCATCAAAATAATATCTGTTATAAGAAGAAATGTGAAAACATGCGAATCGATGATACATAAATACGAATGATCTATTATCATGTAGTATTTAACAACTAAAGTGCAATTTATGAATAATTAAATCATGGGGAAAAAATTACGATGCTTTTACATACTTGTGGTTAAAATGTGTAGTTATAAAGGAAGATTTTTCGATCCGAGAAATTCGTAAACTTCCATCAGTTAGTGAATAAAATGATTTAAAACTCTACAAAATATGAAAATAACTTCGTGTTCAAATCTTTTTTGATTAATTTCAAGAGCAAAATCTCATTAATTAATGGAGATTTGCGATTTTTCCCATGGAAAAACAACTTTCCATGTAGCGAGACATTTAAACCACCCTGCACCTGCATGTGCAGACACTTAAACGTGTAGTAAAATCTCAAGGCCAGTCGGCTAAATGGTGTTGCCATGTGTGAATACTGTGGGGATAAATATTTCTTTAGGTAAACACTTGCGCGGCATGCAGTTTCTGGCAACCACGACGTGTCGTATTTTGACCCGCAAATTTTTGGGTCTTAAAATGATTCCAAAATTCTTGATGTATATTATCATGAATATTAGTGTGCAAAAAAGTTGCTACTAATAAATATTTTTAAAAAGTGGGTTAACGTGAATCACTTACGTGATGGATGGTGCATAATGATATTTCCATAAGGAAAGTTAGCCGCCGCGGTTGGCACCGTCTGCATGATTACCGCCGCCGCCTCAATGTAATGGAATCCACCAGAAATTGAGAAATTGTGTACGGTGGCGGGCTTGAGATGCACATTGTGCAAAATATACGTCCACGTACACATATACTATGCCGTACGCAACCGCCTCAATGTTATGTATATATATATATATATCGCTGCAACCGTATAAAAAAGTAGCGCCAGCGTTTCTTTTAATATGACACCGAATATCACAATTATGTATTTGTTGACCTTTGAAGTCATCGCAATGGTCAATATAGCAAAAATATTGTCATCGCTTAATTCGTGGCGAAATTTCCTTCAAATGACACCCTACATGAAAATTGTTTTTTGACCCCATCACCCCGACGACGAGGTCAGAGGTCTAAAATGGCGAAAACTATATTTGATTAAGTTGAGGCGTTCTGGGATATCCTGCTGACGGACGGACAGACAGACGAACAATACGATGACAGTAAGTAGCTGACGCTACGTAGTACTAGTTTTTTCACTTTGCATTTGATAAAAATAAATTGTGCTGGATTTGGAAAACTAAATCAATTACTACTCGGCTGGAGACGGATTTATATGCTAGTATTTACGATTTTATTTATTTACGCATGATTTAAACCTTTAACTGAATTTTAAGAACCTTAATTTATACTACTGGAAACGCAGCCTTCGATCTGTATCTCAATTCTGTGTGAGACTCATCTGGATTAGCTCGATCTTCCACCTGAAAAATTCGCTTCTCATTAAAAACTTAATTGAGTTTTTATTATTATGCGACTATATACTTACACTGCTGTTCATAAATGAGTAGCACGGATTCTCCACTAACTTCATGACTCTCTTTCTCAACAAATACCTCGAATTTGAAAATCATTTCGGGCTCATTTTAAAGGCAAATTAGTTGACTTCAACATATTTAAAATGTAATATTCTGCAATTATTACTACTTCCAGAAAAAGTTGCTAACCCAAAAAAGTTATAAAATAATTGGTCAAAAGTGAGGAGCATGAGAAGTTTACTCCTAAGTATATTGTGAAACTAAATTGGTAGGTCATTATTTTTTTTATTAATTACAGTTTATACTTACTATAATATAGGCAATTTAAAAAAATTGATAATGTAAGCCAAGAGAAGAGCGACACAAGTAGAGATTCGGGATCTCATCATTCAACACTACGAGGATGTCGAAAACGATCAAAAGACTCAACAGGAAATTGCGTCTTTACAGATCTTTACAGAAAAGGAGAAGAAAATGATTGTCAGAAAAGCGCTTATCAATCCAAAACTATCAACCTCAAAAATTTCTGACGAAGTAAAAATTGAGCTCGGCAAAGATGCAAGTCGTTCAACAATTGCTAGAGTACTGAAAAAGGGTGCCCTAAAAATTTTCCTAGCTAAGAAGAAGCCATACATATCCAAGGTCGACCTGAAAAAACGCCTTGCATTTGCTCGAGCGCATGTAAACAAGAACCAAAACTTCTGGAATTCTAGACCATTTTAGACCTCTGACCTCGTCGTCGGGGTGATGGGGTCAAAAAACAATTTTCATATAGGGTGTCATTTGAAGGAAATTTCGCCACGAATTAAGCGATGACAATATTTTTGCTATATTGACCATTGCGATGACTTCAAAGGTCAACAAATACATAATTGTGATATTCGGTGTCATATTAAAAGAAACGCTGGCGCTACTTTTTTATACGGTTGCAGCGATATATATATATATACATAACATTGAGGCGGTTGCGTACGGCATAGTATATGTGTACGTGGACGTATATTTTGCACAATGTGCATCTCAAGCCCGCCACCGTACACAATTTCTCAATTTCTGGTGGATTCCATTACATTGAGGCGGCGGCGGTAATCATGCAGACGGTGCCAACCGCGGCGGCTAACTTTCCTTATGGAAATATCATTATGCACCATCCATCACGTAAGTGATTCACGTTAACCCACTTTTTAAAAATATTTATTAGTAGCAACTTTTTTGCACACTAATATTCATGATAATATACATCAAGAATTTTGGAATCATTTTAAGACCCAAAAATTTGCGGGTCAAAATACGACACGTCGTGGTTGCCAGAAACTGCATGCCGCGCAAGTGTTTACCTAAAGAAATATTTATCCCCACAGTAAATATGCACTCTATATAAAGTTGTGAAAAATTTACCCAAGTTTGAATAAAAAAGAGGATGACAGCACAATCCAACCGTTGCATAAATTTTACCCAATTGTTGTGTCATCCTCGCTTTTTCGCAACCTGAGTAAATTCTAAAATTTTAAAACCTTGTTCATAGTGCGTACAAATAAAATGAATAACATTATATTTAGCATGCTAATGATGAAGTTACTTATTTTTAACCGGACATATTTTATTGACTTCTGAAACTCTATTTTATTTGTAAAGTAGGCATATTTACAATTTTTTTGACAAATGTGTTTATGATCAATTTATGATTAAGATGTGTAAGTATGATTTTAATTAAGTGAACGGTGGATTTGGCCCGAGCTGCTTGTCGTACATGCCAAACCCTTGCTGGATTATGCCTAGATTCAAAATTAACATTTTCAAAATCAGCTTATTTGAATAATCGTTACTGTATTTTACCTGCTGCACTATCAAGTTTTGCCAACAGTAGCAACTCCACCAGTTTAGTGAGAGTAGCTGCAATCCCATTTTTCGATACCCATTTTTGCAATATTTCTTTGATAAAGTTCAACTTGTCATTCTCGTTTATTTGAAGTTCTTCGGACCAGGAATTATCCGAAATTAGTGCAGTTGCAAAACCGGAAAGGTTCTCGGTTAATTTCTTATCTCGGATTAGACGCCCTGCAACGTCCCGTGTGGGAAACATATTTGCAGATATTTTGATAAAAAGGGGGAGGACAGGAAACGTGCTGATTCCTTGATGCATGCAGTTTCCCAACTAATTTTAGAAAGGCTTATTCCATCCATGAAATCTATTTGATCATGAAATGCAAGCAAAACCCAGGACCGACTGGTTCGCATCCTATATATAACAATACACTTATCGGTTAATAGATAAGATATATATACACATTTACATCATTGAAGTGTTTTATTTTTACAATAAATGCTAATACACAATACAACGCTGATATGTAATATTTGTCGGCTTAATCGACCGAAACCAAATTGCAATCATAAATAGTTATATAAACTTGTACGTACTTCAAAAACGCCAACTACGTGTCAACATCCTCAAAATATGTACTTAACTGTAAATCGCAATAAATGGAGTTGAACGAACACAAAAAAGCTGTGATGCGGAGATGCAACAATTTACATCATTCACTGAAGTAATGGTAAGTACGACTCTAAATTTTTTTTATTGAGGGTGAACAGGATGTCGACGCGACTGCCTTATCGGACAGTGGTCATGCATAAGTAAATAATTCCATTGTTTGTAAGGGAGTCGATAATGTAAATTATCTCCGTATCTACGTCTCCATTCGCCATTTACGACAAGGCTTTAGCATTTAGCTCTGTGTAATTGATTAAACCAAACTTGTCCTTGTAATCGTCCACACGTTAAAAAATGACGACTAAAAAAATTATTGCAGTATTCCTTCAAGACGCAATGTTCAAAGATAAGTGGCAAGACGTATTCGCTGAGATTTTGGATAGGAACACAACAGCAGAATTCGACACATGGCAGAATCAAGTAACATCATCTAGTTTGACCCACCGCAGGCTGTACCAGAAACTGATAGAATATGCAATTAGTCAACACGGGGAAATTCGTATGTTATCGCTACTGAAATCAACTTTAAAAAAATCTAATTGTCTACAAATTTATCGTAAGTGTAGGTTTCTCCTACTTATCTATGATTGCATACGAATATATAAAATACATAAATGCAAAATAATTACGTGCATTAATTATTTACTTTTCATGACAGATGCCATCAAAACTTATCACGGCCACGGGGAATATTGGTTCAACATTAAATCTGGCATCGACCAATTTTACGGCAGAGACAAGCAAATTCGTAAATTGCTCGAAATTTATGATAAGCACACGTCTTTTGTAGTAGTAATACTTTGCGGTCTACCTGGAATGGGAAAGACAGAATTAGTTGCACAATTCCTTAGAAATGAGCAAATTAACCATAAAGTTCCATGTATATGGATAAGCCTGCTAAATTTCAAGGAAGAGTTGACGAACCTGGCTGAAACATTTCTTCCAGATAGTAAACTAGACTTTAAAAATACAGATCCTGGGTCATTATTGGTAACCATTGCGATTGATATTGGCAAAATTATTGATCAAAAATGGATTTTGGTTTTGGACGGATGTACCGCTGCTACAGTCAAACCAAAGATTTTGATGAACCTAGCAGACTCCAAGGCAATGGTTATATTGACCTCCAGCAATAAAAATTTGTACCACATTCATAGAAGCCACCTTATCGATGTTACCGAACTAGACGAGGAATCAGCTCTAAACTATGTAAAATGCACTCTGATGTCGGAAGAGACGGAAGCTTCCATGCGGCTACTTTGCCAGTTTGTCAACAACTATCCTCTGGCCTTGGAGCAAGCCACGTGGTACCTATTGTACAAACAGACACATAACGTTTCCAAACAAACCATTCACGCCTATATTGAGGAATGCAAGGCGAAATCTGCAACCTTGCTTTCTATTCAATTACACCAATTTGGAAGATCCAAGTATGAGAAAACTATTCTGGAAACGCTGGCAACAACAATTAACCAACTTCAAAGTAGTAGCGAGGACAACAATAAGCATCAATATGCTTTTAACCTACTCCAGATTATCGCATGCCTCGGACCAGACCATGTCGAAACGACATTTCTGTTGAAAGTTTTCACCTGCTGGAAAGAAACTGTCGATGAGAAAGTTTTTCAGGAGAGCTTGAACTTCTTAAGTTCCCTGTGTTTAATAAAAAGCGAAAAAAATGAATGCTTACAGATGAACCCTATTGTCCAACAAGTTGTACGATGCATTAAGCGAATAGATAACAAAATGTTGTACGACATCCTTATCAACCTAGAAATTGGGTGTCAATCCGTACCGGAAATTCGACATTTTCTATTCGTTTGGGAACATTCACTCAAGGAGATGTCTATCTCGGAAGAGTTGATGCTAGTTGCTCTAAAAATATCAGGTCGTCTAGATAAACTTTTCATGTACAATGAAGGCCTGTGTTTTGCTGAGAGCGTAATTAAGAGCATAAATGAGGCTGAAAACAACCCTCTAAACCCGGAACTCTTGTTGGAAATGAAAATAAACTGTGGTCTGGCTTTGCGCCGACTAGGAAAGGGTAACGAAGCTGTAAAGTTATTCAAGGGCATTAACAATACATACACACTGCCTTCCGAACAACCAAATGAAAAATGTTTTACAATACTTCAGCACCTGGCCAACTCTTATTACAACGTACAAAAATTTGAAAAGGCACTCAAATTGTACAAAGAAGTATGCGCTGGTAAATCACTAATTTTTGGCGAGGATAGTATAGAAGTAAATAAATGTCAGTCCAATATCGCCGGTGCGCTAAGTGACCTCAAACAATTTTCCGATGCAGAAGTGAAGTTGCAGGGGGTACTCAATTGGTTCAAGGAAAAGGGTTACCAAGATGAAGTGCTACGAGTAACACATTCGCTGGGATATTGCTACTATAAAATGAAGGATTATAGCAAGGCCAAGGTTCAGTTTGAGCACGTTATTAAGAAGAGGGCCGATCACCAAGATAATCAAGCCCGAGAGTTAATTGCAAAATATATGCTGGCCCGTGCAATTTTTCACTTGGGTGAGATATATTCAGCAATAGATATGCTAAAAGACGTTTACCAGAAGCAAGCTGGACTTATTGGGGAGGACCACCCGGATACGATTGACACAAAAAACAAGATCGAGAAATACTTGGTATGTAAGAAACTGCATAATTTTAAATGCAGGTAGTGTGACACAACTAGTGTCCGTTTAATTAGCTTCGCTATATACTCCTGTTTTTCGCACCTGTGACGTCACCATTGCAATGCTATTATGGTTAACTATTGGTAATATTGGGATTCATTGTTGATGAACCTTTATGCAGAAACATTCGGATAATCCTCTCACGTTTGACGAACAACCTGTTCCCGCACATGTCGTTGATTGCTGTTCTTCTAAAGAATGTAATAATTAAATTATATGTAAATTTCTCAGAAGATATTAATCTCATCAATATGCTAGGTAGTTCAACCTTAGAGAGGCCCAATGGACAAAACAAAGATGGCTGTTCTGCAAATGACTGTTGTTCAACATCGGTGCATTTCGAAGATATAAATGACGTTAAACTACTAAAATTAAACTACCGTGAGAAAAAATCGATATTAAAGGAAGAAAAAAGATCCGTAAATGTAAGGATCAATAATTTAAAGCTACGCTATCATGAGAGAATGGTCACACTAATGAAGAAGATAGCATTCTCGGGCAGGTAGTATGAATTAAACTTTAATTACAAGCCTAGGGAATCCACAGATCCCTGTGGAATCCATCCACAGATGTGAGATCTCCAGAGTTGCGTTATTTAAATAAGTTTTTATTAAAATAATGCTTAACGCCCGGAGAATATTTATTATTTAAAACTAAATAAGTGCGAAGATTATTTATTATTTATTAAGTAGCGCAAGCTACTTTATGCGATACAGGTATAGTCTTATATGTATTATAGAATGAAAGAATGGAAATGAATACAAGAATAGACCTTCGGCTTTTTCGCGTTGTTGGATATTTTGCATACATATTTTTAAACCCCAGTACCCCGCAATGGTAGCATACACATTGCATGTTAATTACTCCTTTACTCACGTAATATTCCACTTTTCGAAACAAATTACGGTTTACAAGTTTTTAATAACAAGTCTGGAGAGAAGGCAGCCAGTACTAAAATTAATGCGTCTTTGCTGTCACACTTTGATTACCATATAAAACCATAGTAATTAACACAACTTGTGAACAAGGAAATTGTTTGCATGTTATAAGTAAAATGAATTTTCACCAATATAAACTTCGTATTGTCAGCATATAAGAATGGCCATTCTTTTCACGAAGTAGTAAAAGCCTTATTGATTACAGTAATTGAAATGACACATTTATTTGTTTTTTCTGGCTGATACATGTTTCGACAATTTTCTTACCCACTCAACAATAACTTCTTTGCGGAATCGATGGTGAAAACTTTCATGTCTACTTTCACCCAAAAATTTAAAAAATACAAGGTTCTAACTTTCAAAATGGATAATCTCTTAAGAAAACTTGTCAGCCCATTCTCCCACTTGGAGACGTCATACTTACCTGTCATGACCTGGCTGACTAAATGGTCGATAAGATCATTTTCAATTCCGATAACGTCAGAACCTGGAAGCAAGGAGTTTTCAGTTATTAAAAAAATAAGACATTGGGTTATCTACGTTTGCACTGCGCTGCTATGGTTTTTCTACAATGTTACTTATTCTTTCTGGTTTTACAAAAATATCTATAATTCGCACGGAAGTCTTCCCATCTGGCAGAAAGTAATTGCGTTTTACTTTCTTATTTCGTACGATATGATATTTGTGTTGCACATTTGTCTCCTATTTCGTAAAAGAGAATTACCACAAGTGCTGAAAACTTGTGTCTGGATGGAGGCGAAATGCATTAGCAGAGGTAAGTTTTATTCATAAATGATGTGGACTCTGTTAGAAATCTGGTATATCTATGTAGTCAGTCAGATACTGACTTATCGGTGTTAAATTTGTTACCACCTGGTATCAAACGTATACCTGTCGGTAAATATTTGCTCCCGATATGGTGAAACTATTATACGGAGCTTTTACTCCATGATATTACTTATCAAAAACACTATGGCAGAGTCATATATGAATACCGCCTGGTATTATTTTAGTACACGATTTACAACAGTGTGCTAATTATGACTTTTGCAAATTTCAGGGGCATCAGACTACACGAAAATCAACATTCTGTCCAATCTTGATGCAGCAAAGTTTTCATTATTTGTCATCCCCGTAATGCTGGGGGCGCTGGGATCTTTTAGACCCTGTACGCCTCCCTCCATCCTAAACGAGGTGCTCCTCGAGTGTCGGGATGGATGGGGCGACCAAGACGCGGAGATGTGGTTACGCGTGGTAAATGGGGCTGCACAGTGGTACGTGTGGTTCTCGTTACCATCAGTTATGATTGCTACGATTAGTCGAGTTTTTCTTTATCCTTCCGTAATGGTGGAGTTATGGATTAAGATGATTGAAAGGTGAGGCTTTACGTTATTACTATCATACCTGTTCACATTCATTTAATTAATAGAGAATGAATACATATGTGCATAGGTAGCTTGTTCATTTATTACTCAATAGGTTCATGAATAATTAGTTAATAATTTTTTCCAAATTTTAAAATGAATGAATATTTATTCTCCTCATATTCATGAAGAATGAATGATTAATTTTATTCATTGTTCAGTTTTCAAGCTATGCTTAATATATGAGGTATATTGAGAAATCCATATAATAAGGCGAATTTGAGTTCAAATGAATAAAAAATGAGTAATGAATAAAAGTTTAGTTTTAAAATTTTGAATAAATAAATATTTCTTCCGATTTTTGTGTAAATTGAATAAATTTTGAATGCGGCCAGGTTTTCGAACAGGAGTGATGGTTACCGGTAAAATGACCTTTTCTTAAATCGAAATTTTGCAATATTTAGACAACTGGACCAGTACAAATTTGGGATTCACGGCTTATCGGGTTTTCGTGTCGCACAAGTATTTCAAAACCTGGTCAACTCCGTCATGCGAAAGCCGCTCATCACTATTTTTGTCTTGCTGACCATGCTGTCAGAAATAACGTCACTCTACGTGATCATAACATCCTGGGAAAATATTAGTTTTGGCGTGTCCGCATTCTTTTACTTGATGGTGATCGATTACTTCGTAATAATTCATATCACGTTGCACTCTCTCAGTAAACCGTACGTTGTGAGCGTGAAGCTTGCAAAAAACATGAAAAGTTTGCGATCACAGAATGCCTGGTTTAAGAAATTTTTGACGTCGTGTCCTCCCTTAAAAGTGGGGATGGGAGATGGTAAGTTCTTTGATGGGTTGACATCATTCATTATTTGGCAGTTTTGCGTGGACAGGTTAATTAATATGTTGCTCATGGATAAATAAATAAGCGTTTACTGGAATGAATGCTAGTCATCGTAAACTCTTAGAAATAATCCCATTTCCATCCTGTTGAACAGTAATCTGAATCTAAATTAAGCAAGCCATACTAAAGTTTAGTATGGAATCCAGACTCTGGATTTGGTATAATTTATTATAATGCATAGTGCATTTACTGTACAAAAAGGTAACATTATTTTTATTTAAGAGTGTTTCTATGCGGAGAACTGGAATGACTTTGTATGTGCAAATTTTCATGCAAAAATCTATATCAATCCTTACTTAAGTATGTACAGGTAGTAACATTACATGTCTAGCTGTAAATATTTATATTATTTGTTGCTAAGAAAGAAAAAGACGGTCGAATCATTAATGATAAGTAAAGTAATGATAAATAATTGCAAATTTAATGGTCTAGTTCTATTGAAACGATTTAAATAACCTACACGTTTATGTATGAATTCGTTTAAAACTTTTTAAGTGTTTTTTATCATGAAATTCTGACCTTGTTTTGGATTGTATGAGAATTTTGAAAATCTCTTATTTTAGCTTTTTACATAAATAGCCAACTATATTTTAATTAGACTCAAAATTACATGCGTGTATGTAATTTCGAGTCTAAATTTTTTACTTCATGAAGTACGTTTAGTTGTCATTTTGAACACAAATTTATTTTTTGCATTACTACATCAGTCATTACAGAGCTGCATAATTAAATTAATTCAACTTGGCAAGTAATGCTTTGCATGTACATTTATCCCGAAATCTAAATTTAATGTTTCTCAGTGATACAATAGATTAATGTAAATATGGGAATGATTTTGCCAAGTAAAAATGTGCTAATCGTCTTTGTATTAAATTTAAGCCTTGTAAGCGTACGGATCTTATCTAATTGCTCTCCGTTGGTTTCTGTAATTTGGTAGGGATTTTGTCGTGCGTGGCTTTGGGGTTGGTGTGTAGGGGACACTATCTCCAACGCAGTTGGGAACATTGTGGGGCCAGTCACATTCCTCAGTGTCCTACATGTTCATCCAAAATGTCGTTACATTTGTTCAAAGTTAGGTTAATATTTATCCGAATATTTGCAACATCTTTACCGGGTTGTAGTATAAGCCGTGGGGACAGGCATGAAACCGCGGACCATAGTAATGGTCACAGATGTAGTAATAGCGGCAATCGGACGGATGGGCTATAACTCCTGTGTAACCTTCGGGGCAAATCCAGGTAATTGGATCCTGACGGGGACAAAGGTAAAGGCATTAGAGGATAATAAATATGCTCTTACTTAGGCGTATCACCTCATTTACATAAATCTCGCTATGCCCACTTTTGGCGATACGGGCTTTCCAGATCAACTAAACTCTATGTCTGTCGTGAATCCGTAAGAATATGCAGATGAGGTGACTAGTACAAATATACAATTCCTCATTATAAGCAATTTTACCGCTGTGGTTGTCCTAGCCGGTATGGTCCTGGTAGTTGGGATCGTTGTCACTGTAGTCGGCATAGTGGTCCCTCTTGGCGGTGGCGTCGTTAAAGTGACGCATGGCGTGGTCGATTCGTGGTCGCAGACGAGCAAGTCTTGATTCCACACTGTCCTATTTGGGCAACATTGTGCCTAGCAAAAAATGTGTATATTCATACTGTTAAAAATAATTTTAGAACGGAGTCACACTTTGCACTCTAAAGTTAAGCAAATGACTACTGCTTATCAAGTTAAACTTATTCTGTGTTTAGTACAGTTTACTTAATTTCAAATGAAAAATACGGTTACTTTTCGAGAAAGGGGAATTAATTATATAAATGAAATACACTTACTATCGCTAAACCATTTGAGCACTCGAGAAACTTTGCGCAGTCGTACGGGTACGGGTGATAAGTGGGATGACCTATCCGGGACAGTACGGCATGTACTGTATATGATAAAAAGAGATACAATATAGACCAATTTTTGCAGTATATTTTTGCACGTGCAAGTTCTCACCTCATCCTCCTTCATCAGACCACATTCGGAGGGCTGTGTGACCTGGGAGCAGCACGCCGTCTGGATGAAAAGGGCGAAGGAAACCAAGCTCGCAAAACATTTTGCAGGGCGCATGTTATTGCGTTTAAATTTTAATATTTCGCCCGTTTGTCGAACTGAGCATTTTTCGCACACCTTGGGTCATTTTATACTAAAAATTTGCGACTCAATGTGCCGACAAAAGGATGGAAAAGCGTATGTATGTAGACTGAATTTGTCAAGGTGACTCCCTACGTCAACGAGTGTGCCGCATTATAAGATAAGTAATCAGTGGGTCGGTCTCAACAGGCCGCGGGAGCGAGGGGGTTTCAGCATTTGTAAAAATAAATAGTGGATCTTCTTCAACGATTATCTTGATAGGATAACAACTTAACTTCTCGATGTATGTAAATACAAAAATACCTGTTCAAAAAAATATTTTCACTCAAAAGTCAATCATCCCGATTTTTGAATTACGATTTTCATTCACATACAGTCCTTTTCCTTCAAACTCATTTTATTCGAATTCATTTCTTACTTTGCCCCATGTATTAGGCACAGCTTATAAAATAAAAGGAGCGAAAAATCCTTTTATTCAAGTTTGTTAGGCTAAAATGAGGGAATCTTTTTTTCAGTAATCCTGCATATGGAAGGAAATTCATACTCATAAACTATTATGAATGAAAGTGAACAGGTGCATATGTATGTAAGCCTGGTTGCGCATCCCATGATTGAATATGATTTAAGTGCTGGTTAAGGTTGAAGTTCCGTGATTGTGATATGATTATACCGAAGTTATGTACGTTTGCAGAGTTAATTAAATTATGTACTCTTCGTGGTTGCGATTGTCGGCTAATTTTCAACAGTTTCATTCGTGTGTGTCGCTATGCGGTACTCAGATAACTACATACGCAAATCATGGCGTCTTATTTTTTGGACGCAGCGGAAATATGTAATTCACTGAAGTTAAATTTGAATAAATGTTAATACGGTAATATGCATGCTAAATGGGAGAAACTTGAGACGGCGTTAGAATAAATACATACAATGGAATTATTTGTGCGTGTAACTTCATGAGGTCAAAAATGCATAAATGGATGTCATTTGTAGGGAATTTCACCACGAAGGACTAGTCTAAAGATAGGCTGTTTCCCGGCTAAGCGAGTTTCGAGTTCTAACCTGTCTAGATTTATAGGTCAGGATAGTAGAAGAAAAAGTCATAATGGGCGCGTTGCCAGATAATGCCTGCGTCACCTTCTGTAGGCCAAAAACTGAAGATTTCGCCATGTCAATTTTTGATAGCTTCAGGGGCCATTATATCCAAAACGGCTAAATATTTCTTAATACTACCAATTTGAGAAATGATGGTACTTACACACGGTTACTAAAAAACTGCATACCGAGTTATTATCATGTAAACCCACTCCACTAAAAAATCCGATCTAAAAAAATCATTATTTTTTACGTTTTTTTGCAAATATTTCGCTTACTATGCTTAGATGCCACCGTAGGATTTGGCTCGAGTAATTTTTATTTGGAAGAACAACTATACCCATGCAACATATCAAAAATTTGGAGATGGTATATTCTTAGTTTTCGAGTTAAAAAATCAAATATGTCAAAATTTAACACTGAAAACTTGATAATTTTGCATTCTGGGACTAAGGTCGACACTCGTTCTTGCAATTGCCCATCTACGGTTGATAATTTGACGTACTAAATACGTTTGAGGTTTAAATGATAATAACTCGGTATGCAGTTTTTTAGTAACCGTGTGTAAGTACCATCATTTCTCAAATTGGTAGTATTAAGAAATATTTAGCCGTTTTGGATATAATGGCCCCTGAAGCTATCAAAAATTGACATGGCGAAATCTTCAGTTTTTGGCCTACAGAAGGTGACGCAGGCATTATCTGGCAACGCGCCCATTATGACTTTTTCTTCTACTATCCTGACCTATAAATCTAGACAGGTTAGAACTCGAAACTCGCTTAGCCGGGAAACAGCCTATCTTTAGACTAGTCCTTCAACACCGTCAATATCTTTGACCTCATGACCTGAAGGACAAGGTCAATGGTAAAATGCACATACTTGTCAGAAACGGTGTCGAGTTAAAGGAAATTCAGTGTCTCTAGCGCTACTTTTTTATCTGTATTCGCTATTTACGGTATTCAAGAGAAAGTGTTATCAAAATTGGCAATACTGTAAAGATGCAAACGTTGAAACAGCACTGAACCACTGATACAATTCTCTCCTCCTGCTTGGTTGGCTAATATTTTCAATTAAAAATACCCCTGCACACATGCCGCCTAGAATTTCACAAAAAATAAAAAAACGTGCCAGATGTGAATAAGTTACAAATAAGTTGTGAATAAGTTAGACCTTAACACGGCGTCGCTTGTAATTGTACATAGTATTGAGAACTTTGTTGTTCTCACACATAGTTAAGTCCTCTACGTAGCTACCCATTGATATGGGGAGTAGAGTTTTAAGTATCAAAAAAATAGTATTGAGAACTTTGTTGTTCATTGCATAAGTTATTAGGTGTGTTATTCGTTGAAATCGTCCCATCATATTTGTTTCCCACAAATGCATAAAACCAAATTCATTCGTAGAAGTGTCAAATTTCTCTAAGTCCGTAAAATATGGGACTCTAAAATAATTATAGGAATATGAATTTGTACAAAAAGTAACTTGTTCCTTATGTATGCATTTTACAACAGTCGAGTGGACGGTGTGAGAGACAAACTTGAACAAAGTGTTGGACTTTGAACCGAATAAAGAGAAAGGCATGTGTTAAAAGTGAGAGAAGAAAAATACATGTTTCTCTGATTTGTTATTATTCATCTTTCACAATTGAATAAATAATTGTGTGAATTATTTTTACCAAGATTTCAAATTTTGTTTGTCACTCCATCCTCCCAATCGCTGGGCAAAAGCGGTATAAATTACAGAACGGTTGGTAGAAAACAATAATATCAAATATTTTTCAAAATTCTTAAACATCTTTCTTATGTGATTTTGCTCCGATACATTAGTTAATTTAGTGGACGATTAAAAAGGGTGATTTTAGTCGTAATTATATGTTTAAAATATAACTGGTCGCGATTGTCTTGTTCTTCTCAGATGTGGCTAAAATTCTTTCAAGATGCCAGAATTCCTCCCCACATTGCGACAAAGTACGCCCTAACTTTTGACGAGCACAGGATGAGGATGGATATGTTGTTGGATTTAAACAAGGAGTGTTTACGAGACCTTGGCGTCGTTGCGATGGGAGATATCATCTCGATTTTGAGGCATGCGAAGGAAGTTGGGGAGAAGGTTGGTTGGTGGAATTATTTTTTTGGTGCAATAATAAGTGATTTATAAATATACATTTCGTTAATATGGAACCCTTGCGACTTTATGGTCTTGGCTTATTGACAGCAAGGCGAAGTCAAATTAGAAAAGCATTCGGTATCATTCTAGCCTTCTGGACCATTTGTTTTTTTTGCATTTTTACATGTTTCAGAACATTTTAAGACTTTTATTTTTGCACCAAAAAAAAGTTGGAAAATTTTTCGAATTTATGCCCCTAGTGGGGTATTGCTCGTGTTTAAGCGAGCGAAGCGAGCAGGTTAGGGAACGTCCATATATTATGTCATCATATTAGTGGGTGGGTGGTTTTGGTCTTCCTATCTTTACCATGTTAAAATTCCCTATCCGTTAATGTTTACGTAAGGTGGGTGGGTGATAAAATCGAAAATTTTTGATGACGTAATATGTATATGGATAATCCCTTAGGTTGCAAGTACGCGGAAAGCCTGGATAACTACCTCGCTTGGGCCCCGCCCACCGTTGGCCCCCTGCGCCCCGCCCACCGTTGGCCCCCTGCGCCCCGCCCACTGCTAGCCCACTTGGGCTAACGGTAGTCGCATTAAAAAAGTGGTCCAGAAGGCTAGACCTCAACCAAGCATTCAACAAAAAACATGCATAGATTTATACCTATATCCTTGCGCATTATACATCAAATATGTCCTGGGACACCGACAACGACTAATCTGTAAGGTGTCGTCCATAAATTACGTAACGCGAGAGGGGGGAGGGGGGGTCTAAGGCTCCAATGATATTGTGCCTAATGTTGCGCATGTTGAAGGGGGGAGGAGGGGTCTAGAAAATCGCGATTTTTGCGTTACGTGGTTTATGGACGGCCCCTCAACCCGAGAGCTAATTAAATTTGTTTTCAGACAAAATACGACTGCTACGAGGCGGAAAGACGGAATGATGCTTCCGGTTTATCCAGCAATCCGCCGGCGTGTCTTCCACCTACGGCTGAAATTGATGGTTACATGGCGATTAATGCGCCGCCGCAACCAGGGAGCAGGAATTGTAGTGTGACCACTCAGAACATCCCTCTACCAAGTATTGGTTTGGGTTTAACTTCTATTTTGGAGGAAGGCCGTATAAACGAGACGGCTGTATTGGATTGTCCCATGGGTGAAGTTTCGCCGATGATGGACCCACAGAAGTTGGGAGATGACCTTTCTCCTAAAGTCAAAGATAGTACAAAAGAAGCAAGATGGACCTCAACTTATAGCCACGTTATGGATCTTGAACATTCTCATGGATGTCGAGATGCCATTTGTCAACAGCGGAATTGCCATAAATTTAAGCGAATTGTTAACCATGCTAAGGTAAGTCTCCAGAATTTAGACATAATTTAGTAATATTAAATAATATTTATAATTAACACTTCAATTACATTCTTATTTTAGACATGCCCGCGAAGGGTCATTGGTGGTTGCGCTGTTTGCAAACAGCTAATTGCTCTTTGCTGCCTTCATGCTAAGAAATGCTTGAAACCTGGGTGCGCGGTGCCCTACTGTGCCAACATTAAGAACAAACTGAAACAACAACGACTCCAGCAAATCGACAAGTAAAGCAAGGATATTTGAAGTTCAACATTATTAAAGAGAGAATTTCTGAAATTCTTAAGACTGAAAATTAAAATTCGGTACATATGTATTCTAGAAGCTTACAATGCTCTCGTTTTTGTAAATGTCCAAATTATGTATTCAGATTTAGTAGTCTGTCCAGAGGCAATTTCGTAATTAATTTATTATGTCGGACAATCTGATTCCAACTACGGTAAAATTTAGATTGGTTAGATGTACTACGCTACTTATGTTCGGATGAGGCATTTGAATAATAGTTATTAGTTTACGCAAAAATTCTGTCAAGTTTTGTATGATAAATAGTCGAGTTTTTCTTAATTAGTGTGCATGCAACTTAGTAAATTTTAAGCAAAAATTTCCTCCTTAATAATTAAATAAACTCCAAATGAATTAGATCAGTATTATGCACAAATATTTATTAGTCACGATAATGGACTACGCCCAGGTCTTTTTAACAAGCTTTCCATACATAGCTTTCCATATTGAAAGAAACATGCGAACATAAAGGAAAATGCAAGTATATGTACAGGGGAGTCACAGTCTTTCGTGAATTAAATATTAACACACATGTTTTATAAGTAGGATACAGTAATCATCACCGAACACCACACGGCTCGAAAATGGAAACGGCATTTAAAAAATAATTAGCCATGCAATTTTACATGTCAAATTGTCAACTTAAAGTATGCCAAATTTTAACCCACCAAAGCAATCTTAATTGCTTAATCTAGTTAAAAAGAATTTGACCGAAATTTTGCCTTGTCCCACATCTCCTCGAAATCCGCACAAACGGTACCCCCTCCTCACCTAAAATCCCCAAAGCGACCCTCATCTCCTTAAACTTCTTGAACTTGGCCCTTCTCACGGCCACTTTGTCACTCTCGACCACGTGGTAATCCACGTGGGGGAAAATCGTGGAAATTCTGGCGTAAAAATTAGGCACGTCTTCCTTCCACCCCCAGCCATTATCCGGCCCACGCCGCCGTTTCATTATCACCCCGCCCACATCCCAGTCTTCCGTGGGGAGCGAAATATCCAAACTCCTCACCGTCTCGCACGGCGCGACACCCTCCGCCAAAAAAGTTTCATACAAAAAAAGCATGGTCGCCTCAAAATGCAAATTCTCATCGGGACAAACATACTCGATTTCCCTCCGCCTCCAGGGAATTGGTTCTTCCCTCGCCACGATTAACCTCTCCAGAACAGGAAATTGTTTTTCATACACTAACTTAACCTCATCCCGCTCAGTGTCAAAATTTAGGTAGAGATGTGGTCGAAACCACTTCGTATCCGGGCTACAAATGAGCCCTGGTAGTCTTAAAATTTCGAAAAGTTTCAACCTTGGGAGAATTGGGATCTTGAGAAAGCGCAAGGGGTGGATGTTCGAAGTGGGACTAATATTGTGTACCGTGGAAATCCACACGTGTTCCAACTGTGGCGCGAGAAGGTCCAATATTTCGCACGTGTGTGCCCTATCGCTCAGCGTAACGTTAAACTCGAGTCGAGATACGTTAGCAAAGTTTGACTTGAGGTAAGGCGGGGCAAAATGAGATCTTCTTGTTGAATCAGGCAGCCAGGAGTGACCATCATTTTGAGAATTTGCACCTGGCTGAACATAGTTAGAAATCGGGTGGTTAGCGAGACCACGTTGCCCCATCGCCCGAGTTGTTTGTCGGGATAGAGTTTGGACATGTTAAGGGTCAAAGTGGTCAGTTTGTGGGGGACGTGTGAATCATGTGGAAGTAGGTCGGCCCAGTTTCGATCGGAAGAAAAGAATGCTTTGGGATTGACCAAAATGAGATGAAATTCGAGAGATCTCAAGTTTTTGAAAGGTTCATAGATCTTGACAAAAGAAGACGCCACGTGGCGGAAGGAGTTGTCGAGGGGTATATAGAGAATTTGGTCACGGTGCTAGTTGCTGCAAGTGAATCTATTTTTGACCAAAAAGTCTCCGCATTTTCCTCGGGCGCACAGACAATTACGTTGAGGTGTTTGGGGGATAGTTTCCTAAGGGGGAGAAGGGCCTTGGAATTGGTGAGGAGGACATCGACCGGATTTCGTATCAGGAGGTGTCTAAGGGCTTCCTTTTCCCACGTGGGATGGACGAGAGAGGCCGATTCTAAGTCGGAGCTGGGCAGGAATTCCATGATTTGAGAAATTATCTGAAATAATTGAAATTTTTTGTTATGAAATAAGTAAAGTTTCGCCGTGCTTAATTACTATTTGAATTTGTTTCAAATCGTGAAATAAATAGGCACAAAATCCATCGATATTTTGTGTTAATCAATCACATACCTCGGGCAAAGTGGAAATTAAGTTGTGCGTTTCCATTTTTATGCAGATTTCTAAGGTTTTAAAGTAAAATCCTCAAAACGAACTTAATGCGTCACAAGTTAATTTAAACTGTGCACTCGTTTTCTGAAAATGTTTTTGTTAAGTTGTCACGCGAATTCACGCTGATGGTGTCTTGTTAGTGGGTACGACGGGACTGGTTTTATTACCATTAGTGTGTGAAGGGCAGGGACGAAAATAACTAGTTTTCCCTGCTCGGAATATTAAAAATAATCCTGTATTAAAGTATGAAAAGGGTAAAAGGTTTTTTAGTGAGAGTAAAAATAAGTTGGGGCCAAAATCAAGACTTGGGATTAAGGAAAATTAAAATCATTGTTCAAGTTTAATTCTAACTTTGCATACGAAACCGGTTATGCGAGAATTACCAAATTGATTTTTTTATGCTGATGTAATTTGATTGCACTTTATAATTAAGATGGGCTTATTTGGGGGCCTTGTTTTTATTTTAATATTAGATATTTGGCACACCTACACTTATGGGAGGATACCCTCTGTTATGTAAATATGTATGCATTACGTATTATGGAATTATTCTATGCGGTACTAAATTGTGTTTATTTGTCTATGGAGAAACCATATGATTGATTGAATTAGACGTTTTCAAAAAGAAGTATGTAAACCATTTGATTAATTAGTACTTCACAATTACCCATTCCTATACCGAATAATCAATCCAATTTTAATTTTTCAAAAATTCACAAACCAAACCATACATAGATAGAAATTAGGATACTTGAATTAATTAATCCGTTCCCTCATTGAAGAATTGAATCCCGAATTTCTTCAAATCCTCCGGAATTGTGGGATACGCTCCTGCCCGAATATGTTCCAGCGTGCCGGTCACAAGACGGTAATATTTCCTCACTTCTTCAACCCATTTTTCCAGGACGGCCTTCTCCTTTCCCATTTTCATGCAAAAAAACAAAATCGTCTCGGCATAGGGAAGATTCACATAATTGGTCGGGATGTTTTTGACGACGGGGTAAATATTCTCCAAGATGAACAAAGACAGCTCGTAGAGTTCAAGACCTGCCCAGAGAATTGCAGCAATTTTATAAACGTCGGGACACATCAGGACAAAATTCAGGTCGGGTGTGCCGATTCGAAGAAGTTCCAGTTCTCGGATGATTTTCAAGTCGACTTTGAAATCGTTCATCTTCAAATAGTTTGCAGGCTTGAGACTTTTCAGGAGACTGTCTCTCTTCTCGATTACGTCGGCACTTTCGGATCGGTCCAGTTCGCAGAGGCGACATTTACAGATGAATCCTGTCAAGATGTATGTAAACAAACGAGACTTAAAATTGTTTTTTTTTAATGCACATAATTACAATAGGGCGAAGACATTATTTCTATTTGCGAAAAAACGTTATAAGTTTGATAATTTACACATTTTTAAAGCATAAGTCGAAAGATTTACAAAATTAACGAAATTCTAGAAATGCATTCACCCATTTTTGAGTTTGAATGTGACTTTTCAGTCAATGCAATGACAAAGTCGAAAGATTAAAAAAAAACTCACCACTATGACTTAGCATAAAATCTCGCTCTGACAACGGCATCATTCCGGGGGCATAGCTCGCCACGATTTCCTCCCCTTTTTTCACCTCCTTAAAAGTAGTGACCATCATGACAAGGGCGGAATCATGATGACCAAACATAACGTTTGCGTCCACACAGTCATGATTAATTTTGGACGAGGGGATCCAAACACCGGCAGAAATGAAGTCGTCGGCATCATCCCTGCATCAGATTTAAATTAGAACAAAGTTATTTTTAACGCAGGCGTTGGTAAGTTACCAACGGTAACTCGTAAAATTTGTAAAATAAATTTCCAAAAGAAAGAGACGCCCATGAGCTGAGTAACTAAGTTTACAAACATTTGTAATCTAATTTTCCGCAGAAATATTTGTCAAATTTATAGATTTTACACTGTAAAATTTACAGTGTTACTCAGGAGTCGTGGGCCAGGACTGCGTGAAGTGTCTCGTTATCTATTCATCTGCGTTTGGATACTCACCTCCCCTCACAACTGGAACAACACGTGATGTTCAAGCGGCAAATCTTCCAAATTCGGTTAATGTCCACCTTTGTAATTTTGGGATCATTCTTATCCGTCAAGGATTTCAATTCCGGTCCAGCCCAAAGGGTGTAAAGGTCCCGGCCGAGGAGAGGATCCAACCAGATCTTGTTGGCCACCGTGCCGACCCCACAAAGGATACATATTCTAAATCCTCTCGCCATTGCCTTTCCAACGATACTACATATGTGGGGTTATGTGAGACTTGACCTCCCGACTTATTCTCTTGACCCCCGGAAATTAGGTCACGCAAGTCAAATTCGACTTCAATTTTAATTTAAATATTGTTTGACAACTAAAGATTTGCAACATATCAAAAATCCGGACTGATCGAACAGATGGTAATGAATAATTTTAGCATTAAGGGTATTTTGTACGAATATTTGTCTAAACCGATGTTCCTACAAAGTACCCTTAATAATTGAGCTAGGATGTTCTACCCTACGGCATTCGACGCAGAGTATAGGGTTTCTGTAGAGATATGGCGCTAGAACGATACCATTTCATAAATGTTGGAAATATTTTGAAAAAACTAAAAAAAAGGAACAAAAATTTCAGGTAGTTGGTATTATCAATTTCAGCCTAGACGGTCAATTCTCTGGAACGCTCTGACCGACCTTAAATTAGGATCGCATGCCAAGGTTGAAGAAAATCGGAATGCTAGTAGCGTCACAATCAGCGTTCCTAGCGTTTGGGGCAATATGAAAAATTTGGGGCACCTTGAGAAAAAACGCGCGAACACGTGTACACTAATTTTTGATTTCATTGGACACGTGTAAGAGCGTTTTTGGTTTTGCGACAACACCGTCAGGACCAGGTACCGGTTTAGCTGAAGCTAGTCAAAACTAAATTACCTCTTATATAGGGTACCGGTGTTGTTGAAGTAAATAATCTTGGTAATTCTGGCAATGTCCACCTTCGTAATTTTGGGGTCATCCTTATCCTTCAAGGATTTCAGTTCCGCTCCAGCCCAAAGGGCGTAAATGTCTCGGCCAAGTTCAGGATCCAGCCAGATCTTGTTGGCCATCGTGCCGACGAGATGCTCCAGAGTGGACGTCCTCTCCAAAAATGCATTCGTTTCTGCTGCTTTGACGTGCAGGCCGGCGAAGGGTTTGCAAACGAGGAGAACCGTTTCAGCCGGGATATCTTGCGTGGCGAATAATCCTTCGCCCTCGCCAATCTTACTCGGCCCGAGCTCAACTGGGCCGCGATACTCGGAAATGCGGTCCACCATCCAGAGCGGCAAATCTGCCTGAGGTTGACTCGTATTCCGTGGCGCTGGGCGTCGCAACGCGGCGATTATTTCTTTTCCGGGTGGTTTCCCCAGTTCTGGGATGATTGATCTGTTAAATTAATAATTAGGCAGAGTTCACTTATCAGTCAAACAAATGCTTGATTTAATGCTAAATTAATAAGGAATTTATGATTGCAAAATTGTAAATATTTTTCATGTAAATCGCACCTCAACTTCTCGATATCTTTATTCTCTTCGCCCAACGACGAGATTTGGGTCAGCTTTTCATCCAGAAACTGACCAGCCTCAGCGTACCGTCCAAGTCCTATGAGACCCTTGGCGTGACGAAACATCGCCTTGACGTGGGTGTTATTGATTCCAAGAACTATCTCAGTACAAAGCAGAGCTGGATTGAAGCAGCCGAGTTTGATCAGAGCGGCCGCCTTGTTGGATAAGATGTCCGATAAGAGCACCGACACGGTTATCTCCTCTTCGGGTAAGTAATCCAGAGCAATGTTGTAAAATCGGATGGCATCAGTTGCCCGGTTTTCGACAAAGGCCTTGTTTCCCACGTTCTTCAGCTTGACCGCGATCTCGACGTTGCTTTGGTCAGGTGTGAACTCCCAGACGAGGGGAGACTTCAATTCGCAACGAGATTTATAGGGCAGTCCAGACTTCCATCGGACACCTGGACAAAAATTAGAGTCAAACCATTTGAATGGGAGTCGTATACATGCTTCCCATATTTATGGAGAGAGAGAGTAAAACTCGGATTTCGCTACCACTGCTGCCAGTCTTACCTCAGGGCCGTAGCAAACGGCCCTTTGGTATAGATATCAGCATTATAAATTCCGATAAGCCTAACTTTTTAATTTGGGGCGATTTGGCTGTTAACATTTTCAATTTTGTTAACTGTAGTAATTAAGTATTTATCTCATATTACTGGAGTTTGCTACGCCTCTTGCTTATGAGGCCCCTCCTCCAGAAACTTTGACCCCAAAAATCTCGATGACGCACAACTTTCTCTTCGGACAACAAAAGCTTAAAATCTAGCTCTTCATTAGGAGAAAAATCTGGCATCAGGTTGTCAGAAGAGAAAGTTGTGCGTCATGGAGTTTTTTATTGATTTATGAAATGGTTTTTCAAGGTAAAAAAATATAAAAAATCGGAATTTTGAAACTTTTGATGCGTCAAAATGTTCGTATCCATAAGGGCAGTCGAATGTCAAATGCAACTAGGGGTCTAATTCTTATTTTGCCGAGTGTACATCGACATTATCATTTTCCCAAATTTTTTCCCCCTGTTTTTCCTGGGGGTGTGGTTGCAAATAATTTAAAAATAGTTTTGTCAACTTGATCTTGATACCCGGAATTTAAGTTGGAATTTTTTTGATTAAAATCGGTGACATCGATGCGAAACTGAACGACTCCCATTCAAATGGAATGGTTCATTATGCATGTAGATACATTCGAGTTACTTAATTATTAATTACTTAATCGTCTAGTATTTTAATTAATCATCCCATGAAATGATTAAAAATTTAGTAAATAATTAATATACTGAACAACACATTTAATTAATCACCTTAAATCCGGATACATATTTTACCTGGAAAAAGCGCTGCCATCCTCTTCGGACTGAGCAACTCTACATCGCCCGGATTCTCAGCGACCACTCCAACTACCGGAGTATCGGTGGCGTCGTCGAAAATGTTCTTGAAGACGGGATCTTTCACGATCATCACCGTCCCCAGTGGGAGGACGGACTCGAAGTCGGACTCGTTTTTGGCTTCCACCGAATAACTGAACAGCGCAAGGATGACTTTATTTCCTTTGACGTCCTCCACAACCGCTTGCACGCAGCCCATCGCCGTAGACGGGGTGGTCGTTCGACAAAGGAAAAACTTCCCGGTCAAGATCTTGATTAAAAATCGTAGTTTAAATTAGAAGATTGAATTTTTTTATTAATTTTAATTCCATCATAAAAGAACTCACTCGATCTCGGTTTTTTTCAGGGTTTTGATACCGACACAATTTGTCATCTTCAACTCGACCTCCTCCATCCTCGTGTCTTTTTTGCAGTGGGGGTGGGTGTGCCTAAGGGGGGATTTATTTATTGTTTTGTGTTTGTCAGAGTTGGGAAAATCTGGATTAGGGATTAGTGATTATTAATCCGGATTAGAATTAACTAATCCCTAATCCTTAATCCAATGAAGATATAATTTTTAAACTAATCCTTAATCCCTAATCCACAATTTCATCATTGGCAAACTAATCCTAATCCCAACAAGAAAGATTGAAAGTAATCCTTAATCAAAAACTAATCACGATTAGGGATAATTTTTTTACGAAAAATACTCTGGTTGCCTATGAATTCCTCTCTCTTCTACCCTGAATTGCTCTATACCATCTACTTCTCGTTCAATTTCCATGCAACACTATTAAGTATTCTCCTTGTTCGACTAATTAATTTTACGGCTGCACTTTGCAGTCTGAAACTTTTCTAATTTTCTTGCAAGCTAAACCAAAAAATTTATTTCCGGCCTACATTAATTAATGTTATGTTCCATCTAACTCTTCCCCACTTAACTGTCATCCTGAAATTTCTAAATCTTTCAACTGTTTAAAATAGAAACAAACTAGGATACTTATTTCTACCGCGCAGCATATGTAAATTACATTCAAAGTAATTATGGTTCCGAAAGACTGAATAAATTAAAATTAATCCTTAATCATAAAAATAATCTGGATTACTTATAACTAATCCTTAATCACGAAAGTAATCAGGATTATTTAAAACTAATCCTTAATCACAGGACTAATCCGGATTATTTAATCCTAATCCTTAATCCGGATTGCTCTTCTGAAAAAACTAATCCCGTAAAAATCTAATCCTAGAAAACTAACTAATTCTAATCCTAATTCTAATCCAACAATCCTGAGAAACTAATCCTTAATCCTTAATCCGGAGCAAAAAAACATTTAATCACCCAACTCTGGTGTTTGTTAAACTGCTCTCTTTTCGCTCTTTGATCTTTGTGCACTGGTCGGCGAGGTGTAAATAATTTAAGTTTCCCTAGTTCCTGTATTCTCTCTTTGCCCCGGATTCGCTTCGGGAGAAACATATTTTTGCATGAAAAAAGTGCATTCGATAATAATTACCGTATAATAATTACAGTTTAATTTTCTAATTTAACTTAAATATGTATCCTTATAAAGGAAAAAGGACACTATCGAAATCATGAATCATAATTTATGGTGGTGATTCACTATTTAGTGAAGGAGTATGAATTTCCTATCGTATAAATGAAAATGAGTGAAAGTTCCCTCATTTCTGACGGATGAACGTAAATGAAATAAATCGTTTAATATATTCTTTCGTTTATCACGTTATGCTTATTACAAACTACATAACTACGTAATACTACAAACATGGGTAAGAAATTAAGTGAAATGCAGTCTAATGAAATGCGTTTAAAAGAAAATGTCTGAATGTGAATGAATGCAAATCTTCACTCAGAACTTCTGAGTCAGAAGTCTGTATTTGAGTGAAAATAATTGGATTGAAAAAATATGCTTGAAATGAATTTTCAAAAACAAGTAAAATATATCTGCAACATGAGTCAATTTAATTATGTAAATTACTCATTCAATATCATCAAGCCAAAGTTATGTAAATTAAAAAAAAATAAGGACAAAGCAGAAATTATTTCTGAGAAATATTAGAAAACTTGGATTACATAATCTCATTCTCATCCCCAACTAATTAATCCGTCTCCTCGTTGAAGAATTCAATCCCGAATTTTTTCAAATCCTCCGGAATAGTGGGATGATCTCCGGCCCGAACGTGTTCCAGCGTGCCGGCATACAGACGACAATACTTCCGCACTTCCTCCACCCATTTCTCCAGGACGGCCTTTTCGGTCCCCTTTTTCATGTAAACGACCAAAATCGTCTCGGCAAACGCGTGTTTCACATAGTTGGTCGGGACGTTTTCCATGACAGTGTAAATTGCCTCCATGATGTGCAAACACGCGTCATAAAGCCCCAGAGGCAGCACGAAGATGGAAACAATTTGATGAATGTCGGGACCCGGTAAGGCAAAATCCAGGTCGGGTGTGGCGGCACGAAGCATTTCCAGGTTATCGAATGTTTCCAAGTCGGCTTCGAGAACTTTGACATTCATATTCTTCAGATATTTGGCAAGGTCGAAAGTCAGACTTTTCAGGAGGTTGGCTCTCTTCGCGATTACAGTCACACTTTCGGATCGGTCCAGACGGCAGAGGCGACATTCGCAGATGAATCCTGTGCAAAAAAATTGTGCAAAAAATTATCATTTTATTTTAATTTCTCCAGGTATAAATAAATGTACATGCCTAATTACGATGCTGATACGTTGTAAATATTTATGGAAAATATGTAGAGGAAATTGTTTCCATACGTTTGTGAAAAATGTAACAAATTTTTAAAACAAATGTATGCAGAAGTATTTTTTTTAACTTCGTCACTTATTGTTGGCCATTTTTCATCTATGTAAAACCATTCACAAAGTTGCAAGTATTTTAAAAATGGCTAAATGATTTAAACCTCTGTTGTGACAAACGTCGCAAAACTTTTTAAATCTACAAAAATCTTTGCAGACTTGTCCACACTGATTGAAATATATTATCCATTCTTTGAGATTTACATGTGTACAAGTTAAGAAATACGCATCGATAAGTTATCGAAGATAACCAAATGAATGACAAAGTCAGAATTAAGAATTATTTAAGATCAACTCACCATGACTTTGCATAAAATCTCGCTCTGATAACGGCATCATTCCGGGGACATAGCTCGACACGAGCTCCTCCCCTTTTTTCACCTCTTTGAAAGTCGTGACCATCATGACCAGGCTAGTCTCATGATGGGGATACATGACGTTGGCGTCCACGCAGCTATGATTAATTTTGGACGGGGAGATCCATACACCGGCAGAAATGAAGGCGTCAATATCTTCCCTGTGACACATTTACATAAATTAGAATTGGTTATTATTTGTGCATTATAATAATGCCATTATTAGCAAAAATAATAAACAAAGTTCGCAACTTTGCACAAAAATTTGGCTTGCAGATTCAATTGCGAACTTGCGCACGCATTTAGTTCGCAATTTTTTTTCAAAAGCATGTAATGAATGAATACCCTCATTATTTAAGTCGATCAGTTACCTCGTAAAGTTGTTATTGGTGACGTTAAAGGAGCAAATCTTGGTAAGTCGGGCAATGTCCACTTTCGTAATCTTGGGGTCGTTCTTATCCGTCAAGGATTTCAGTTCAGGTCCAGCCCAAAGGGCGTAAATGTCTCGGCCAAGGAGAGGATCCAGCCAGATCTTGTTGGCCATCGTGCCGACAAGATATTTGTAGGGGTTCGTGCTTAATGAAAATTCCTTCTTCTTCGTCGATTTGACGTACAGGCCGGCGAAGGGTTTGCAAACGAGGAGAACTGTTCCAACGGGGAGATCCTGCGTGGCAAATAGTCCTTCACCCTCGCCAATCTTACTTGGCCCGAGTTCTACTGGGCCGCGATACTCGGAAATGCGGTCAATCATCCCGACCGGTAAGTCTGGCTGAGGTTTGTGCATATCCGGTGGCCCTGGGCGTAGCAACGCGACAATAATTTCTTTTCCTGGTGGTTTCCCCATGGCGGGAATGATTGACCTGTAAAAATATTGATGAGGTTAAGATCGCAATTAAGGTTCTCCAGCTTATGCTCTGAGATTTTGGCCGGAGAAGCGTCAATCCGATTGACTCAATCGATCACTTTAACTATTTAATTAAATTAAATTTTAAAATGAAATTAGCGAAGGGTACGATCTCCCAGTGGTCACGTTTTGCAGGGATATTTGCACACGAAGAGCGCTCTAAAGTTGACAAGATTTACACTCACTAAATTCCATGTGCACATTTTCCTCTTCGGATGCAAATATCCCTGCAAGCCTACTGGGAGATCGTACCATTCGCAAATTTCGTGTTTAGTAATTTAATTTGTGATCGATTAAGTCAATCCGATTGACACTCATTTGGGGCGACCTCCAACTTCTCAAGCATTAAATAAAATAAGAAATTATGAATTATTTTTTGTCATGTAAAACATGTAAAATCGCACCTCAACTTGACAAGATCTTCATTCTCCTGACCCAAGGACGGGATTTGGGAGAGCTTTTCATCCAGAAACTGACCAGCTTCAGCGTACCGTCCAAGTCCTATGAGTCCCTTGGCGTGACGATAGATCGCTTTGACGTGGCCACCGTCGATCGCAAGAACTTTCTCGGTACAAAGCAGAGCAGGATTGAAGCAACCGAGTTTGATCAGGGCGGCCGCCTTGTTGCATAAGATGTCCGATAAGAGCACGGACACGGTTATCTCCTCTTCGGGTAAGTATTCCAGGGCAATGTTGTAAAATCGGATGGCATCAGTTGCCCGATTTTGGATGAAGGCCCTGTTTCCCACGTTTTTCAACTTGACCGCGATCTCGACGTTGCTTTGGCCAGGTGTGAACTCCCAGACGAGGGGAGACTTCAACGCCCTTCGAGATTCTTGTGGTAGTTCCGACTTCCATTTGACACCTGGCCAACAATGAGTTAAATACTAAATTAATCGCCCAATCTAATTAATTAATCGTGTAATAAATAACATCACCTTATTAACATGAATAACAATAATTAATAAATAATGTGATTAATATTATTAATTTAATAATAAGCAAGTTAATATTTTAATTGAGTACCCATCCAATGAATCATTTAACGACTTATCTAATTAAGCTTGCAATAAAATAATTTAAGTAATAATCATTTTATCCGAATTACCTGGAAAAAGCGCTGCCATCCTTTTCGGACTGAGCAACTCGACATCCGCCGGATTTTGGGCGATCACTCCAAAATTGACAGAATCAACGTGACACTTTTTGAAGACGGGATTTCTCACGATCATCATCGTCCCCAGGGGGAGGACCGCTTCGAAATCTGACTTCCCCATTTTCGCATCCATCGAATAATTGAATAATGCAAGTCGCACGGCCTTCTTTCCCGTGACGTCCTCCACGCCCGCGTCCACCCCGAACAATCGGCTCGACGGGGTTATCGTTCGGCACAGGACAAACTTCCCGGTCAAAACCTTGATTAAAAAGTTAATCACAATTAAATTAGCATATTGAATTTTTCACTTAATTACTGAATAATTAAATTTCTTTATTAACCGTCCCACATTTTTCACCAGGGTGTCGATTTCGACACAATTTTCCATCTTCAATTCGACCTCCATCCCCTCGTCGTAGGCGGGCTGGATATTTGGTTCTTCTAAAAACATAAAATCCTTGGTGGTCATCTGCTCGCGAAATTTGATGGGGTCAATGACCTCTCGATGAATGCGGGTCATGACGGAAATGACTTTTTCTCTCGTCGTGTGGTGACGGATTGATTCTTCGTCAGTTGGAAGTCGAAAAGTTGATGCGGGGACGATGATCTTTGGGAAGGGTTGGCGACGCGGCATTTTGGTGGATTTTGTGCAGTGGGGGGTGTGTCCAAGGGGGAATTCGTTGCTGCTCTTCACTGCTAGTAGACGACGTTTGTAAGACAAAAGTTTAAGATTGCCTCGTTCTCTTTCTGCCCCGCAAATTCACTTTTTTGTATTAAAAAGAAGTCTTTGTTTCATGAAAACCTTTGATATTGGCCCAGTTAGCGATCTATAGGAAGTTAGACCAGCCCAGCCCAGAATTTCAAATTTTTAATTTTTGAGCTTTCCCGTGCATTGAGGAATGATTTGATGACTGAAATGTGTTCCATAGTGGCTCCTAATAATTCCCAAAAATTTCCAGCCATACCCGACGCGGGGAACTATTTTAATTTGCATAAATGTCTATTTTTGGCATATAACCATCCATTTTCTCAACTTTGTCGATTTTTCACAATTTCAAAGTTGCCTGCGGCAATGTTCTGATGGTTGAAACTTGATCAGGAATACCTGGTGAACATTCCCACCAAGTTTCAGGAAAATCGTACGGCGGGGAGATACCTAAAAATTGACAAATGACCATTTTTTCACCCTCGGCGTCAGTTTTCATGACTTCAGGTCACGGCCAAATATACATACGCATACGTATGTATGTATGTTCATACGTCAGGCTCCACAAACTTTCCGTATTGCTTTTATCGACAAACGACATATTTGCGATGTTCACTGAGCTGTAAATGAATAAGGAAATCATTACGTACATTTGGTAATTTTGTCGCCCGTTGTATTAAATACTAATTCGAAAGATTGTTTTTTTTCTGCCTGGAAGATTTGACCTGTTTTTATCAAGATGGAAATAATAAATTATGCACATAGTCTGTGTGATTAATTTTAATGACATTTTGTAGGTACCATAGCATTTTATTTCATACAATAATCAACACAACAGCGCGCTAACTGATACGGCAATACCAAATTGTACCAGCAATTTAAAGTTTGTGATGATACGATAACCTAAATTTTTAATTTTAAACTGTCAAAGTTTACCAGACTTTACATCATTACAGCGATATTAATAAGCACAATTTAGAATATAATTTTTACAGTTTTACTCGAAATATACGAATTTGTGATCTAGCAATTTAGTACACAATTACAAGAAAATCAAAGTGTAATAATAGATACATGTGTTAAAAATTTTAGTCCCACAGGAAGGACCAGAATTTCACAATGCGCCGAAGAAACCAAGGTATTTTCGTTTTCCCATATTTGGTGCACTTTTTGCACTCAACGTCCACAAAAATCGGGTCCACCAACAAAAGAGGATCCGATTGCAGTATGCGGAAAATCTCCTCGGAATTGGAATTCAGGCAGGAAAGAAGCAGCGTCCTACAGGGTTCACTCAATTTTGAGATGTTCGGACGGATTTCATGCACTGAAACATAAATAAAGTATGACGACGATTTTAAATAATTATGAGGAATGACGAAATACATTTGCCATGTAAAGTATATTTGAGAAACAATTAGAATATACAGTAAATTGTTAGACTTACAAATTTCAAAGCAATCCATGGCACTTGATGCGTGGAAATATTTTAAGAGACGATTCCTGTCGTCTACATCGTAATGTGCTTGTAAATGATAATTTAGTATTTTTAGTACTTCTTGGGCTTGGTCGTCCGGGTCAAAAAAGTTAATTGATGAGGCACGGACAGAAAATAAAGAATCCATTTTATTTAAAACTAACTGAAATTCTACTCTGTAATTAATAAATATTGGGAGTGAAAAAATAAATGTGAGTCGTCAGATGAAATATAGGTACTAATTAAACTGAATGGAGCCCACACGGTGGTTAAAGAATGTGCCAATTCAGATCATATCTGAATATTTATTCATATTTATGTGCCTAAACTTGAGAAATAAACCTCAGCTCATTTTATTGCTAAAGTTTGCATATATGTATGTATATAACAAATGAACCATTTCATAATAATGAAGATGACTAATTGGAATATGTGGTTGAGAGCTGCTGTGCACTAGAGATGCGTAGGATCGGAATTTTACCAACCCAACGCTATAATTCTTTTTAATGTTTCTTATGTATTTTGTAAGTAAGTTTTTGACATGTTTTGACTTTTTTAATTAATAATCACTTCCAAGTGCGACATGTGTTGAGTAATTCAATGAACTATGTGGAAACTTAAAACCTAATGAAACAACATTTTAGGAGTTTTCAGTACTTGGGCGAATGGAAGTTAGCGGATCCTATTCAGCTCTAGACATACACAGATTAATGAACCATGCAATTTCTGGACCAACCGACGGGTGTAGCATTCCAGATGCAATAATGCACAATTGCTTAAATATGAAATGCATATTAATTATATGCAATTGATACCATGCTAGTTTCTAAAAAGTCGTACAGTCTATTACAGTCTTGCAGTCTATTTACATTGGAATCTTCACGTCAAATATCTCGACAAATTACTCAAAAATGTTCTCACCAAAGTCCCCAAGTTTTCATGCGGATTTCCCCGAATTGCCACATATAAAAAAGTTACTGTGCCCTGTTGCGGTACAAAACAAAGCGTTCCACCATCACGGAACGGAGCGACAAGGACTAAAAAAGCACATGTTAGAGTGTCACGAGGAAAAACCGACAGAAGAGGTTCGAATAAGGACTGAATTTCAAGTAAGTATAAATATGCTTTACTTGTTTCTTAATCAAGCAAATATGTGGGATCCACCATGATCGCACATAATTTTTTTATTTTATGATTATTATTATGATTAAGTCATAGGCCAGTAGATACTTTAGTTTCATTTATAAATTCAGAGTCTTCATTTATTGAAGGGATTTTATTATTTTAAAGGTTAATTTGTGACCGCGACGCCTACTCAAAGGTGGAAAACTTCAAACTAAAAAGTTGTATGATGTGTAAACTGCGTCTAAAAATCGAGTTTCACCAAGATTTTGACTTTTTAAACATTTGTAGGGTCCTAAATAATGATCACGTCCAATTGCAAACTCAAATTTTTCGAAATAACAAATTTTTTCGATACGTGGCCCAGGTCAGAAAAAACTTGACATGAATATACTAAAATGTGTTGGATGTGGTAAGCCAACTAGGCTTGCAAAAAGTACTAAAATCTTACCAAAACCTGATTTTTCTTGTGATTTTGGTCCAGCAGTTTTCCTTAGGATTATTTGGATAATTATCAAAATTGTCATCCATTTGGAGGATTGTTTTTTAGCGATTATGTTTGTATTCGTTTATTTTTTGAATAATTTTAATCGACCAGTTATGAGCAAAAATGTGCTAATGTATAAATATTGATAATCAATTAGTGTAATATTTTAGCAAGTACTGGGAATACATGCCAGTGACAATAACTAGTCCAACGCATCAATAAAGAAATACAAAAAATCCTAAAAAATTGCAAATAAAAAACTGAAACCGTTTTAACTTGCAAAATATGTTAGCAAATTTAAAAATGCTGTGCAATTTAATTTGGAAATTTTTGATTTTTACTTGAGTAGAAAAAAAATCAAACGTTTGGAAGAAATAGCATGTCTTTATTTTTGGTTAAATTATTTAATTTTAAATACCAAGCACTTTACAAAAATTAAATGAAAAGTTATACGAAATATAAAAAAGGAATTTACAAAATCGCAGGTTCCGAATAAAATTTCCCAAGCGATACTGGCTTGTGAGACGCATACTCCGATGCCTGCGAGGTCGGTGGTGGAAAGGGCTTGGACAGCAACGCCAGCAAAAAATCCAACCAAAACACTCCCAAAACTAAACAATTTTCGAACTGATGCACCCTTTATTTCATTCACCCCCAGTCAAACGACACATTCGTGGGCCACCAAAACTTTACCACCAGCTTTTGGTGGAGAATCAAGATCTACCCCTGCAAAGTCATTTTGCAGGTCCACAAAGTCCACCACGTTTGACGACTGGATGGAGTCGCTAAATAGCTCCTCCTACGAAACGATGGAAATGACGGACAGAAGGAAAGATAAGACTCTGCAGAAGATTCATAGATCCTTTGGCGGTATGTCAAAGGAATGATACGACGAGGATGTTGACTCGTATGTCAACGATTACAAGGGCTGGTACAGAAGACCAGCAGGGCTGCCCTTCCCCTTCCAGATTTATGGAGGCTGTCGTCCTTCGTACGGACCTGGGGACCACCCGGAGGGGCAGGCCACCAGACGGTCTGGTTCGGAGAGCACGCCCCCACCCCTAAACGATCAAAACTCACCCCCCACCGCTGAAGAACTACAAAATTCAGGACAAGATCCCCCCTCCGACCTCCAGCAACCTCCCCCGGCAGCAGCAGAGGAGCAGCATCCTTCAAACCAAGATAATGTTGCAAGTGCAGAAGAAGAATGTAGAGTGTTTCTTCAAACACGACCAATATCCACCAATCCTCTGGAGAATGCACATGGTAAATATATTTTTGATTATTACTATCCTAGCCAACTAAAAATCGTCAAATTGAAGCAATATTAAAGTTTTGGGTATAACCTCTTGTGTGAAGTAATATCCTGGGTAGTCACGTTTCTCAAAAGGGACCATGATATAATGATAATATAGAGTAATAATTTTCTGATTCAGCAACGAGAAGAAATATCAAAAATTAGTATATTCTGAAGATTTTTTAAATAAGATTTTTTCGATTTATTTTATTTTCGTTTCCGAATTCAAAAATATGAATTTCGTAAAAACACTTAAAAGGGGTCGAGGTATTGAAAATAGATTGCAACAAAAAAAGATTTCGTAATTCCATCCACCCGTACCAGAGAAATCTGCGCCCCAGTGTAGCCTATGATATATGTCCATACCGCCCCCCAAGGTAATTCCTCCGCCCAAAAAGAAGTTGGCTTAATCATCACACGAACTATAGTAACATTTTGAAATACTTGATTCCAAATTCCAATATTACTGATGGATCTCGTTGTTGAATCAGAAAATTCGTATATACATATGCATTATGCTTGAATTACTATAATACATACATGCATAA